AAGTTCCTAGATCAAACATCAAACTGGAGGCTCTTCCTGGCTTTTGCAACCACAGCGGCTGAGGAGCTCAAGGCTAGCAGACGGTACACTGACTGTTGACTCCAACAAATGATGAATCCAAGATCTCCAGGCCGAATGGTGGACTGTTCACTGGTGGACGGTTGTAGGCAGCACAACAGAATCCCGATCCACAAAAGAATGTCTCTCTTCCCAGAATGTCCTGGGATATACTGGAAGCAGGCCACACCCCTAGGGAAACTCTCTTTCGACAGATTGGCCACTCAGAACATAGTCATCTGATCCCATCATGGGAACAACCACACCACAACAGCTCAAACCACACAGAACTGTGGTCCAGCCAAGGGGACACACAGCTCCAACTATCACAATTATTTTTTCCCAAAACTCATTCTCATCTTTTTTAATATTTAGGTATCCAGCTAAAGACTATTTTCCCTGGCCTCCCTTTTATGTGGATGTGGCCTCATAAGTAAATTATCACTTGTGAAAAGTGCACAGAGTTGATAATTGGAACTTTAAGGTCACATACCTCTAGACAGTTGTTCTCAACTCATTTCTCCCTTTTTCCTTGACTAGAATAGGTGATAAAAAGAGCAACTTTGAGAACCAGGTGTTGGGAATTGCAAAGTCATCCCTGATAGCCTGGATTTCTATATAATGTGGAACATAGCCTACATACTCACTCTGGACTGTTAGATGAAAGAGAAAAATATCTGTGTTTTCTAAGCTATTGCGTTTTTAACTCCTTTCTTTCTTTAAAACAAAAAAAGCTTAGTATTTACCCCAGATGGGTCTTTGGGGAAGACTTCATAAAAAGTCAAAGTCTTTAATGAGGTCTTAAGAACAGACTAGGATAAAAAGACCAAATAACATACAGAACAAGTGATACATTGAAAAAAAAGTATGAGCAGTTAAATATTTCTGAAGATACTGAAATAATAATGTAAATTAATTATAAACAAGTTTTTTAACAGTCAACTCAAAAACTTAAGATTTTCCCCTTGTATGTAATCAATTTACAAAGTAAAAACCCATTATTACCAAATAACATTCTTTCCAAAAACTTATTCCAATAAACACTCAATTTATTTACATTACTTTAATATTTCTTTATACATACCATACAAAGTTCAAATAAAATGATTCCAAGAGACCATACATCTGATTTTGGGCCAGAAGGCAACGGCTTTTCACTTGGTATATGATCAGTGGTTTTGAAAAGTCCTTGTGCAATTACCTCAGGTGCCAAGTATGAAGGATACCTATAAGGATATATTAAAATAATGGATGATTGCTATATACTAAAAGGGGGAAAGAAAAGGTACATTTTTACTATCAGTGTGCTAATAAGATCTATATAAAAGTTCCATGCAACTGTTGCTAAGAAGACTTCTAAATTAACCATTGTAATACAAAGTTTTATGTCTAGGAATCAAGAGTAAATTACCTATTTTCTCTTTATCCTAAACTTCTATTTAAACTATTATTATCATCTTAACTATTATTTACTTCACTTACGGTAAGGATCAAATACTACAGCCTTCAATATTTATTATACCTCAACATAAAGAAAACAAAAAACTGGACCAATAAGAAATATCATGATAAAAAGACCAAGATTGAAGTTTTCAAGGATTTCATGTTACTTAGATCCACAATCAACGTGCATGGCAGCAGTGAAGAAGCCAGATGATGGATAGCATTGGGCAAATTGGTACCAAAACCTCTTTAAAGGGTTAAAGAGCAAAGATGTCACTTTGGAGACTAAGGTGAGCCTTACCCGAGCCATGATATTTTCAACAGCCTCATATGCATGTTAAAGCCAGACAAGGAATAAGGAAGCCTGCAGAAGAATTGATGCATTTGAATTGCAATAATCTGCAGTGTAAGAGTGACACACAGACATGCAAGTTGAGCAGGTCTGAGAAAGAGAATGGGACTATAGCCATAAGTATCTATAGGTTTGGCAGCAGATATTTCTACATGCATATTTACCTATGCCACAAATATATCCATAGATATATTTTTCAAAATTAAAAATGCATTTTTTGGTACTAATGTTGACAGACAAGGAAAATAAGATATCTGTATCTATACCTACATCTACATCTATGAAACCAAACTCACTGCTGTTGAGTCCACTGGGTTTCTGAGGCTGTAAATCTTTACAGAAGTAGATTGCCCCATCATCTATCTGCAGAGCAACTGGTGGGTTTGAACCACTGACCTTCTGGTTAGCTGCCAGATGCCTTATATACTACACAACCAGAGCTCCGTGTGCGTGTATGTTGTTGTTGTTATTTGCCGTTGAGTTGGACCCAACTCATAGCGACCCCTCCTTGGGTTTCTGAGACAGTATCACTACAGAAGTAGACTGCCCAACCTTCCTTCCAAGGAGTGGCTGGTGGGTTTGAACCATCAGCCTTCTGGTTAGCAGTCAAGTGCCTTAGGCACTACGGTACCATATTATATATGTGTGTGTGTGTGTGTATGTTTATGTATATATATGTGTGTTAGACTGGGTTCTCTAGAGAAACAAAGCATTGTCAAAAATCTTTTTCCAGTCTGTGGTTTCACTTCTTCCTCTTTTAGTGAAATCTTTTGATGCACATTAGTGTCTAATTTTCATAAGTTCCAAATAATCTATTTTGTGTTCTGGTGTTTGTGCATTTTTAGTTACATTTGACAGTGTATTTAAGCCATGTGTTAGGGCCCCTAAGTTTGTCCTTATTTTTTCTTTGATGTTCTACACAGTTTATGTTTTACATTCAGGTCTTTGATCCAAGTTGAGTTCATCTTTTTATATGGTGTGAGATATGGGTCCTGTTTTATTTTACTTGTCAAAGAGACTATTTCTTCCCCCATTTAATGAGTTTTGGCTCTTTGTCAAAGATCAGTTGTCACAGGTGGACAGATTTACTTTTGAGTTCTCAATTCTGTTCCATTAATCTATGTGCCTGTCATTGTAACAGTACCAGACTGTTTTAACCACCATGGCTGTGAAGTAGATTTTGAGATTGGGGAGTGTGAGGTCTCTCACTTGGTTCTTCTTCTTTAGTAGTGCTTTTCTTATCCAGATTCCTATTCTTTTCCATATAAATTTGGTGAACAGTTTTTCTATCTCTTCAAAGAATAATCATGGAATGTGGATTGGGGTTGAATTATATCTTTAGATTTCTTTGGGTAGTTAACATTTCATGATGTTAAATCTTCCAATCCATAAGTATGATATATTCTTCCATTTATGTGGGTACCTTTTAACAGTGTTTTGTAGTTTTCCTTGTATATGTCTTTTATTTCTCTGGTTAGACTTATTCCTAAGTACTTTATCTTTTGGGTGGTTATTGTAAATGGTGTTATTTTGCTGACTTCCTTTTCAGAGTTCTCTGTTAGTGTAAAAGAAACCTACTGATTTTTTATGTTGATCTTGTATTCTGACACTGGCAAAACTTTCAATTAGTTCCAGTAATTTTCTTGCTGAGTCTTTAGGATTATCTGTGTATAGGCTCATGTTGTTGTTCATAGGTGCTGCTGAGTCAGCTCCAACTCATAGCAACCCTACGAACAACAGAATGAAACACTGCCCAGTCCTATACCATCAACACAATCCTTGCTATGCTTGACCTTATCCTCACAGGCACTGTGTCAATCCATCTAGTTGAAGGATTCTCCAGTTCACTGATCTGCTACTTTACCAAGCATAAAATCCTCTAGAGATTGATCCTTTCTGACCACATGATCAATGTAGGTAAGACAAAGTCTGGCCATTTTCATTTCTATGGAGCATTCCAGCCATCCCTTTTCCAAGACAGATTTGTTCATTCTTCTGGCAGCCCATGGTATTTTTTGTATTCTTCACCAACACCACAATTCAAATACATGAATTCTTCTTTGGTCTTTCTTATTCACTGTCCAGCTTTCACATGCATATGGCTTGAGTCAGGCACATCTTAGTCTTCAAAGTGACATCTTTGCTCATTAACACTTTAAAAACATCCTTTGCAGCTGATTTTCCCAGTGCAATACAATGTTTAATTTCTTGCTGCTGCTTCCATGGACCTTGATTGTGGATCCAAGTAAAATGAAATCCCTAACAACTTCAATCAGTCCTCCATTTATCATGATGTTGCTTAATGGTCCAGTTGTAAGGATTTTTGTTTTCCTCAAGTTTAGTTGTAATCCACGCTGAAGGCTGTAGTCTTTGATTTTCATCAGTAAATGTTTCAAGTCTTCACTTTCAGCAAGCAAGGTTGTGTCATTTTCATATCACAGGTTGTTAATGAGTCTTCCTCCCGACCTGATGTGGTGTACTTCTTCATATAGTCCAGATTATTGAATTATTTGCTGAACATACAGATTTGAATAAGTATGATGAAAGGATAGAACCCTGATGCAAACCTTTCCAGATTTAAAACCATGCAGTATTCCCTTGTCCTTTTTTGAATGCTGCTTGTTCTATGCACAGGTTTCTCATAAGCACAATTTCTATTCTGGAATTCTCATTCTTTGCTATGTTATCCATACTTGTTATGATAGAGTTGAATGCCTTGGAATAGTCAATAAAACACAGGTGAACATATTTCTGGTAGTTACTTTCAGCCAAGATTGATCTGCCATTAGCAATAATATCCCTTGTTCCATGCCTTTTTCTGTACCCAGCTTGAATTTTTGGCAGTTCACTGTCAGTACACTGCTACAATTGTTTTTAAACTATCGTCATTGACATTTTACTTGTAGCATAGTGCCTAAAGGACTTGACTGTTAATTAGAAGGTTGGCAATTCAAACCCATTAGCTACTCCTTGGAAGGAAGATTGGACAATCTACTTCCATAGTGATACTGCCTCAGAAACCCAAGGAGGTGTCACTATGAGTCAGGTCCAACTTGACGGCACAAAACAACATGATATTAATGAAATTATTTGATAATTTCCACATTCTGTCAGATTTCCTTCTTTTGGAATGGGCACAAATATGGATCTCTTCTAGTCAGTTGGCCAGGTTGCTGTCCTCCAAATTTCTTGGCATAAATAAGTTAGTGTCTCCAGTGCTACATCTGCTTGCTGAAACATCTCAATGGATATTCCATCAATTCTCGAAGACTTCTTTTGGCCAATTCCTTCAGTGCAGCTTGGATTTCTTCCTTCAATACCATTTGCTCTTGATCATATGCTCCCTCATGAAATGGTTAAACTTTTGGTTTTAGAAAACCAAAAGGAAAGAACACACTAGGCATTTCTCAAGCTGAAGAAAGAAGTGAAGAAAAAAATTCAAGCCTCAAGCTGCAATACTGAAGGATTATATGGGAAAAAACAATGAACAATGCAGAAAGCATGAAAAGAGCCATTGTACCAAAAGAACTGGTAAAGGATCATTTCATGTGCAAATAAGACAATATTACTTCTTCTTTGCCAATTTAGATGCCTTTTATTTCCATTTCTTGCCTTACTGCTCTAGCTAGGACTTAAAATACCCTATTGAAAAAGAGTGGTGTCAAGGGCACCCTTGTCTAGTACCAGTCCATAAGGAGAATTTTTTAGTCTCTCTACACTGAGAATAATGTTGGTCACTGGTTTTGTATATGTGCCCTAAATTATGTAGAGAAATTTCCCTTTTATTCCTATTTTATTGAGTATTCCTTCTCAGGAATGTGTGTTGGATTTTGTCAAATACCTTTTCTGCAATGACTGATATGATCATGTTGTTCTTGCTCCTTTATTATTATTATTATTTATGTGGTGGATTATGATGATTGATTTCTAATGCTGAACCATACTCACATACCTGGCACAAATCCCACTTGGCAATGATGGATTCTTTTTTTTTTTTTCTTTTGATATTTTGTTGGATTCCAGAAGGATTTTGTTGAGATATTTTGCATCTATATTCGTAAGAGCATAGGTATGTAATTTTCTTTTTAAGTAGTATCTTTGCCTGGCTTTGGTATCAGGGTGATGCTTGCTTCATAAAGTGAATTTGGGAGTATTCCCTCCTCTTCTATATTCTAAAACAGCTTGAGTAGAATGTGTCAGCTCTTCTCTGAATGTGTGGCAGAATTCATCAGGAAAGCCTTCTGGGCCAGGACTTTTTTTTGGTTGGGAGTTTTTTTTATGACCTGATTAGTTTCTTGTTTTCTTATGCATATGTTCAAATTTCTACCTGTCTGTGTTAGTTTAGGTAAGTAGTAGTGTGTTGCTAGAAATCTCACCATTCCGTCTAGGTTTTCAAATTTGTTGGTGTATAGCTTTTCATAAAATCTTAAT